ACGCCCAGCTTGCGAACGCCTTGCTCCGACGACTTCGAGAGGAGTGAGAAGAACGCAACGACCTTCTTGCATAGGAGATAGCAGTTGTGTGCTTGAGAGTTTCAGGGATAAAGGGGCAAGTTATGGCCAGAGCAGTAAAAAGAACCACTAGACCAAGTGGGATTCGAACCCACGACCACCGCATGACTGATGGATCAAGTCACATGACTCCCGAGGGAAACATATAAGAACGGAACGCTAACCACTGCGTCACTGGTCTGTCAATTCAGAAAAAGGGGGGCTGGCCATGATGACTGCAAGGTAGGCACGGTAGCACTGCAGGGAGTAAATCCATCGTGGAGGCTGTGAGGAGAGGAGAAAGGACCGCCGCAGTCTGATGTCGATGGCATTGAGTCGTGGCTGCTGTACATGCGTTCACTAAGCCTCAGAGGCATGACTGAAGGCCACCATGGTTCTTGCATCCTCCTCCCTGCCTTGCTATCCCGCCGCCCTGGTTCACCTCAGCTCCTTTCCACACGGCACTTTCCGCCGCCCCTGACTCCCTCCCGCGCTGCCACCTCTCTCAGACCCGAGGTACCCAGAGGTTTGCTCAAGGCTCACGGCGACGTGCCTGCTGGCCAGTTGCCTCTGGCATGATGACTCCAGGAGGCGCGCAATGCCACACACCCTGTGCCGCGTGTCTGAGTATCAGCATGGCACGGTTGCTAGGAAACACCTCGACCCCCTGACACATCGCAAGACCTACCAGGAACGCCGAGGCCAGCAGCGTCGCCCCGCTCAGGAAGGCAAACAGCTCAGTGATGTCCCACTGGACGCACGTCGGGGCGCGCCTGATCTGCACCGCGTTGACGGTGCTGACGCGCGAGCGCGGGCAGTTGCCGTCTGCATCTGCGAACTCCTGATGATAGCCCATCAGCAGCCCGAAGGCGGCGAACCAGGCCAGGGAGAAGAAGATGTCGGCTGCACGGGGTCAGCTGACCATCATAACAGAGTTGCGCGATGTATTGAAGAGGCAAGCATTGAGAACTCACCCGGCCACAGCTTGCGCACTTGCAGCGGCACAACGCAGATCGCGCTGAACAGCAGAGAACCGGCCGCTACGATCTCGACGTAGATCAGGCGGGACAGGGGCAGGCCCCTAAAGTCGTAGAGGAACAGGCCCACGATGCCGACTGCAACCTGAGGTACTGAGTTAGCTGCTGCTTCTGATCGTCTCGTGACCCCCACGCTGTTTGCCAGCAAGAAGCAATCCTCGCACTCGCAAGCGACAACCACGCGACTCACTGCGCTGAAGCATGCCGCGCTCAGATGCAGCAATGGGGAGGTGAATCTCAGGAGCCGGTCTCGTGCAGATGCAGGCTTCGCCATTGTGGCAGCTGAGGAGTGAGTGCTGTCAGTCGAGCTCAACCTGCACAATGGCTGTGATGATCGGTAATCACGCCCATCTGGAGCAGCCTCACCGAGATGGCTTCCTCAATTTTCATGGCTTGACAGTCGCTTCTCATCGACACAAGGGCGGCGCGACGCGCATCACCGCAAGTCCCGTCCGCGAGTCGCGAATACGCAGTGTCGCGACGCACGCAACACCAAGCGCGGCGCCACAAGTAGTGTATGAGACTCCTCACGATGCGCATGCGCCGTGTTGCCAGCTGATCACGGCCCCAGCACAGCCGCACCAGCACTCGCACGTTGGCTGCTCCTTGCTCTCATGCTGCCCCTGAGCGGCGACTGCCCCTGAACCAGTCCCACCACACCGACCAGCTGGCTGGCTGGCACGCGCTGATGGCCAGCAAGCCCCCTTACAAGCGGGCCAGCGCCCCGTCGCCGACTTCTGGCTTATCTTACAAGAGCGCCATTGCTGCTGCTGCTGCTGCTGCTGCTGCGACTGCTCCTACCTCTGCCTCTGCCGCTCCTACGACGGAGCAAGCACCGGGGCAAGCTTCAGGGGCGGGCGAAAGCGTGGGAACGAAAGAGGGGAAGAAGAAGAAGAAGAGGAGGAAGAAGAAGGGGAAGGGTGAACAGCAAGACAAGGGCAACGACGAGAAGAGCAGTGAGCTGGGCGGTCAAGAGTACGCTGCTAGAGACGATGCGCAAGCTCATGTCCCGCAGCCGCAACCACAGCCACAGTCCACTGGAGCTGGAGCTGGAGCTGGAGCTGGAGGCGATGATGCCAGCCAGGCGAGGGTCACCGCCAGTGCTGCCGGTGTCAGTGGTCCAGCTGCTGGTTGCCGGTGGAGGACGTATGCGCGGAGTCGCATGAAGACAAGGAGCCAGTCAGACCGGAAGCTGCACCCAGGACTGAAATGCTCCCGCGACCTCGAGGCGGTCGTCGAGCACCTATCCAGCAATACGCTACCGCCGAAGCGGAAGCGGGAAGAACTAGACAAAGCAGCAACGACTGCCGCTGGGAGTCAGAATCAGTGCCAGAGCGCGTCCGACGCAGTGGTAGTCGACGTTGCGGGTGCGGTCGCAGTCCTCGTCGATCGCTCCGGGACGACAGCGCCGACGAGGCCTAGCAAGCGGTCAAAAGTCAAGAGTGAGGGCCACAAGCAGCAGCAGCAGCAGCACCAGCAGCAGCAGCAGCGAAGGCAGGCGCCTACGACTGCTGCGTCGAGGACGCAGAGTTCCCCGAATACAGTTGTCGCTTTGTGGCAGCTGTAGTACTCGCCGCGCTTGTACAGTG